TTTCTAATGTATTCGTTCATTTCCAGCAGCTAAACCAAAATGCAAGAGCACTTAGATTATTTAGGCGCCTATAAATCATGAAAATACAATTATTAATGTATGAAAAACGTGATAATTGCACTATTATCACGACCCCTATGTTCTTTATCCCTTTTCCCCCTTTTTTTTGTGGGGGTGATAGGTTGGCTAATTGAATAGATAAAAGAGAATAAAGGAAAGAAGAAAGGGAACAGAAAAATAGTTTTTCAATTGATTTTCTTTTTTTGATTCCAGTTTTTTGTGTATGCATACTCTTTATCAATGGTAGGACATTATTGAACAATTCTTTTTTTTTTCTTTTTTTGTTTTCATTAGAATTTACTGCCTTTTTACTAGATCCATGTAATTTTTATTTCATATTCTTATGTTTGGTGCTCTCGGATTCGAAAAATGTGAGATGGTTGAACCATGCTATTGAAAAGATCTGGCTTGTTTGTGTAGAAGAAATAGTTTATCAGAAAATTCTTCTCCCAATTGTATGGTTTTGGTTTGGGGTTTTGTTGACTTTTTTTTAATTTCTTTTTTTATTTAATGTGATTAATAGATAGTTACTATTTTGCCCTTTTAAAATTGATTAAAATGGGATCAAAATCAATTTTTTGGTCAACTGGCTGTATCTTGGATGGAAACCGTCCAAAATGGTCTCACTTGCAACGTTTCAAAAGATTAAGGGTGACGGTGCAACAAATCAAAGATTTGAGAAGTCTGCCAGTGTTTTAAAGGTTCGAGACTTTTGTTGCAATTATCCCTAAAATTAATATAATGATTACTCAAAGCAATCGCAAATTCCATTTATAAAAATATGGGCTTTTTGACACAATTAGCAATTTAGCATTTCAATATCAAACTAATTAGTAATTACTGATGTGATTAGCAGGTAAATGGTGTTTTCACAGAATAGATCATAAATTAGGGGGGGACCCACCGTCAACTTTTATAATTCAATTTTTTTCACTGAAAAAATTTGAATCCAATTAGACAATCTAGTCTAGGTGGGAATTCAAATAAAGCATTGAGCTCACAATCTAGATAGAGAGTTCCAACTCAATTAGAAGAAAATTAACTATAAATTTTTGAAAGTGTTATTTATTGCTAGACAAGTACTTTTTCTGATATAAGGGGAAAAAAATTTAATAGAAAACTCTTGGTGAAAAAATTACTCATGCTTTTCCAAAGAGAGTCTAGTCCCAACTCCCAAGACACATAGCCCAAAGAAAAAGTATACCTCTACCTGGTTGGTCATTGAACTTTTTGTAAGGTATTTAAGGGATTACAGAACTTTACAAATTTTCCCGTTAATCGTTGAATTTTATAAAAGTTTTCCCAAGTGATGAATGATATTATATTCTGTAAAGTTCAGTAACTAACAAGGAGACTTTTGAAATTCTCAGTGATTGATTTGATTACATTTGTAAAGTTCAGTGACTAATGGGAAAACTTTTGAAATTCAGTGACCTCTTGAAAATCTTACACAAAGTTCAGTTACCAATCAGGTGATTTATCAATCTTTGCATATATTTTTTTAGTCTTTTTCTTTCTTCCTTCCTTCCTTCCTTTTATTATTTTTTTTTTGTGTGTACTGCTATCCCATAATTTTGTTCTTTCTAGTATCGTCAAACATAATAATAAAAAAAAAAAAAATAGCTTTTATCTTGAGAGTAATTGACAAGGTTATCTACTAAACTCTCTAAAATCAAAGAGGCAGCAGTGGTCCATGCAATCAACTCATTCGAAAGAAAACTCTTTTAGCATTGATCACGTCATAGTATTGAACTTTGAGATTCACACATCTTCACCTAAGAATTTGATAGATTTTTGTCTTTTATTCAAATGTTCAAATGGAAAGAAGATCGAAATTGAAGCAACTCATAGAGCTGTCCTATATTGCTTCTTTAATCTTAAAGAGATCAGTAGACAACCTTGTTAATTATTCCTGGGATAAAAGGTTATTCTTTTTTTATATATGAGTTTGACGATACTAGAG